AGTATCCTTGAACTAAACAAATTAACTGGACCCAATTTTAACGATTGGCTAAGGAACCTAAAAATTGTTCTTCAATCGGAGAAGAGGGATTATGTATTGGATACAGCTCCTCCTCCTCCACCCGAAGATCAGACTTCGGATGAGTATGGAGCGTATTTACGGCATAAAGATGACAACCTCCAAGCTCGGTGCTACATGTTGGCATCAATGTCTAATGAGTTGCATAGACAGAACGAATTACTGAATGATTCTTCTGAAATACTCCTACACTTACAAGAGTTGTATTGTGATAGGACGCGGCAGATTAGATATCAGATATCTAAGGACCTTTTCAGGTGTCGTATGACCGAGGGCTCTTCATTTCATGATCATGGGCTGATGATGATAGCTCTTGTTGAAAGGCTCTCGTCCCTAGGAGTCATTATGGATAATGAACTCTATGTGGACCTCATGCTGCAATCTCTGCCTCCGTCATTTGACAGCTTTGTCGTTAACTTTAACATGCATAACATGGAGACTTCTCTCCCTGAGTTAGTGAATATGTTAAAGACGGCTGAATCCACGATTAAAAAGGATAAGCCGGTGCTTCTTGTTGGATCCTCTTTTGGATCAAAGACTGTAAAGTCTAAGAAAAGGAAGGGGAAGGGAAAGGTTCCCAATAAACATAATAAGAAGGCAAATAACGACAAAGGGAAGAATAAAGAAAAGGTTAAACCTCAGTCGAATCATGAATGTTATCATTGTGGTAAAACTAGGCACTGGAAGAGGAACTGCAAGGAGTATCTTGCTAGCCTGAAGAGTTCAGGTATTTATTTTGTCGAAGTTAACTTATAAGTTAACGATTCTTCTTAGGTATTAGATACCAGCTGTGGCTCACATATTTGCAATGATTTGCAGATAATGGCAAGAAGTAACAAGCTAGAAGATAATGAAACAATCCTAAGGATGGGCAATGGAGCAAAGGTTGCTGCCAAAGCAATTGGGACTGTTTATCTAGCTTTAAATAATGATGTAAAGATTTGTCTTACAAATTGTTTGTATGTTCCGGATTTAATAAGAAACATTATTTCTATTCCAACACTGGATAGAGAAGGTTTTAAGTTCGTAATTGAGAATGGAAGTTGTTCCATTTTCAAAGATACAACTTTTATTTATTCTGGAAATTTGACAAATGGGTTATATACCATTACACCAGAAAGTCCCATCCTAACTATTCAACAAAATAAAAGGAAATATGATAATCATAGTTCATTCACAATTTGGCATGCTAGATTAGGTCATATATCTGAAAATAGGATTCACAAATTGGGACCAAAACTCGACCTTAGGGGAGAGGAAAGGTTGCCTACTTGTGAGTCATGTCTTAAAGGTAAAATGACTAAATCACCATTTTTAGGACAAGTGGAGCGAGCTAAAGGTCTGTTGGATTTGATCCATACAGATGTTTGTGGGCTACTAAATGTTAGTGCCAAGGGAACTACTACTATTTCATAACTTTTACTGATGATTA